TTAAATATTTAACTCGACTTGAATTTGGCTTGACTCGCAAATCATCAAGTCAAAAAAACATAAACTCAACTTGATTTGAACTCGACTCAGCTTATCTGACTTGTGAGTTAACTTGACTTGTCTGGAACTCTAAACATTCGTATATATTTAAAACTACTATTGAATTTTGCTAATCTCAACTAATATATTAAAAAAGCATAGCAAGAAATTCTGATGCATACTATTGAAAATTTAGTCAATAGCATATCACAGTAAATTTGGACTGTGATTGCAACAAAGAAAGGCCCAACCAAGTACTAAAAGTTTAATATGAAATGTATGCCTTAACTAGTTCTAAATAAAATAATATTAGAACTATTAATGCTAAGGAATTATAAGTTTTATATTTGGTGAAAAAGTGTCTAAAAACTTTTATTTACCCTCTGTATATATGAGTTATTATTATAATCTTTCACAATATAATATATATCAATTATCATCTTCACCTTCTATTGAAACTTTTTTGAATAATTTAGATTATAATCATGGAAAAGAAGTTATACAAAATATTTGGAGAAATTTACAAAAGAAAATTACTGTTAATATGATTCCTACATTAGATAATAATGATTTAATTAGTTTGAAAGTTAATACTATTGGAAAAAGAAAAATCTTAATTCAAATAGCCAAATATTATACAGAATAATTTTTTTTCAATTTAATAATAATCTAATAATTTCATAAAGGTTTTTTTGAATTATAATAATAATTTTAAATAATAATATAAGACATTTTTTTTTTGAATAATTTTAGTTTGTTTTAATAATAAACATGTTAAAAATATAGAAAATAAATTTAATTTTATTAATTAAATCTAAAATTTTTTATTCAATTGATTTAGCATAAAATAATTTAGCCATTTGTGAAGTTATTTGTGCACAAGCTAACATTAAAAGATATTTCAAATTATCAAATAATCTAATATATAATATTTTTTTAATTAACTTTTAATCACTAAAAAGCCAACTCAATTGGATTAAAATTTGAAGAATAAGGTGGTAAAAATAAAACTTTCTACTGAATTCTTCAACTATTAATATAATTTATTCATTGTGATAAATCTTAACATTATCTATAATAAGTATATTATTCTTTTGTAGAAAAGGTAATATTTATGAAATCTATAAATAAAATATTTTGTTAAAATTATTGCATATATAAATAAAAATATTATTTAATTACTTAAAATTTGAGAAATAATAATTTTTTAAAATAATTGTTTATTATAACTGCCTTTTATGATTTCTATTTCAATAATACTGTCAAATGAAAGTGTTAAAAGAATTGTATATCTAGTTTCTCTTAAAAACAACTTTTTGAATTGCTGGTTGATTTCTAAATAAATATCTATATAATTTTGAAAGAGATCTCTCATCTTTTAAAGTTTTATCTAAAACAATAAATTGTTTTGATAAATATTTATTGTATAATTTTACTATAAAAGCATTTCTTAATATTTTATTTCATTTTTTAGCTGCTTTTTCAATCTAATAAAGTAGTTTTATTATAATTAATTAAAATTTCCATAAATTTACAATGCAAATTCATAAACAATTTACTTTTTTTCTTGTGATTTCTAAATAATTTAATACTCTTCAAATAGTAGGTATTGCAACTCTTTTTTCTGTTTTGATTTCCATTTCTATCATCTATTTATTAAGAAACTAATCTTTTTTTTTTCCTTAAATAATTCTTTAAAAATCTAAATATCATTATTTAAAATAAATAGTATTTGAGTTATTAAGTATAAAAAAAATCATAAAAATTATAATAACTTGCATTTAAATCATGCCTACCCAATATTTTTCTTCTTTTTTATATACTTTTTAATGGATTATTTATACATTCTCACTTTTTAAAAATACAGATAATTTTATTTATTATAAATTTACTTAGATATAATAATTTTACTATTTGTTTTCTAGAATAACTATTCCTATATAAATATATAACTCTTCATTTTAAATCTTTACTTAAAGTCTTTTTATGTATTATATTATTCTAAAAAAAAAAACAAAAAAAACTTATAAGTATAATTGCAATATAATCGCATATAATTGTAATGTAAGTGTATGTAATTGCAAGTGTAATCACAGTAAATATTAATAGAACTTACCAAGTATTATTATATAAACTATAGTAAATAAAAGTTACAATACTTATTTTTTATTTATAATTTCAAATAAAACAAAAGTAACATAAAAAATTTTTTATTAAAACATAATTTTTTTAATTGTGAAATTTAAATTTATTAGTACAAAATATGATTGACTCGCATTAAATGGCCTAGGATCCGCGTACTCCCTCCCTCTTTGATAGCATCATACATTTTATTTGCTATCTCTACTTTCTACTAAAAAATTAATAAAGTTTCGCATTTCACACGTAAATGTTAACGATTAGTTTAATTATGCCATCTATATTTGCTCCAGGGGTTACTCAAATAGTAAATACCTGCTGGAAAGTCACAAATCAAATTTTTGATCGGCGGTAACACAGAACTGGACGCGACGCGTTCTCTTTAATGCTATAAATATCAAAAAAAAAAAAATAATTTGCTCAAAAGTATCATTTTACGATGACTAAATTGTGGCATTCGTTTTTTGATGAAGTCAATGTTAAATCCTGGACTATTTATCAGTTCCATAAAAACTGGATTAATCTTTACAAAGATTGTCCTGAGTATCTAGTATATGGAAAGGCCGTAGATATACTCGCTAAAAGTCTTCGCTCGATCGCAAATAGCAATTCAGATATTAAAAAAGTTGAGATAGCCAACAAACTTTTAAAGGCAAGTACATGTATCTATATGGGAATTGTCGTCCGCAGAAATCTGTTAGATATTTGCGGTTCTCCACAACAAGGAAGTAGTCGTTCTTCTGATGATCTGTTAGATCGCATTGTGGTTTTGACATCCCATAACTAGGAGGTGTGACGCTGTTAGCTGGTCCTCTGACAGATCTGTTAGATTGTTATGGTTCTCTAGGCTCTGATTAGTAATGCAAAAAAATATTTTATTCGCTGGACCTAACTAATAATAATATTTTTTTCTTTCTTTTCTGTTATCACCAGAACTATAGCCAGCGCAAAGAAGGAAACAATATTGACAAACTATGACTTGCTGTCGAAAACAAGAAACTAGTTCTTCAAGAAAGGAACGTTAACATGGGAACAAATGTATACAACTGGTTTCTTGCAAAGACATCAAAATTAGTAACGTCGGACAAAAAAGAAGTTACAAGAATGACGAGAATGAGGAATCAGTGACCCCAACGAAAAAGGTCAGTATATAATTTATTTTTGAAATTCAACTGAGATTAATAGTGTAAACTGTATTAGTTATCGGTTGACAATGACGACACCTCTTCGAAAAATGATAAACATGAACATGACGGACATCAAGAGACAGATGAGGAAATAATATCGTCAGAGGTCTGATATCTTATTTATTTTATACATATCTCCTAATTGATAAGTTCATCGATGAACAGATTCTTTTCTTATTGTAGAGTCCGACCGTTAAAAAACTTAAAGGTCTTGGTGGGATCGCTCGATATAGGATTGTCTTCTTACCGGAAGAAAATAATTGTAATCCGATAAAATCAGCCTTCGTTGAAGAAGAATGGTTAAAGTTTGAAACAGATTGGGAAAAAGTTTGTGGTCTTGTACATATTTATTAAAAAAAATTCGACGACGAACTTATGCTATTTTTTCCCTAGGTTGAAGAGACGATGGTTGTAAATGATGGGGTGGACGGACACATCGAGAATTTATTGAAGAAGTATGATGATGCAATAAATAAAGCAACAACTGGATATAGTGTTAATTTGAGCGAAATCATCGGCGTTTTCAACGAGTGTACTCTCATCAATCGGAGTTGTTATACTTTAGTAAGGAGTGGCCGTTGCAGTGGACGCAATCAATTTACAATGCATTGTATGTAGTACTTTCCGTTCTGATACTTGAGACGATGAAATTAATTTTTGTTTGTTCTTAGTTCATTGTGTTTTAGCCTCGCAATCAATCCGCTTCATGATGGTGAAGTATCGGAGTACGCGTATAGAGACAAAATTGTGAATCCTCTCATAGAAAACGTTTTTCTGGACATAAACGAAATGATTCGTGTGAAAACGTAAGTTTCTATCTATGCTAAAAGCGATGTTTATAATGTTTATGTCATAAAATTTCGGTTTAAACATCTGAAGATTTAAGGAAAACTATTTCAAATCGTAAATGATTGTATAACGTAATTTTTATCACTGACCAGGGGTGAAGTCGAAAATTCCGATCGAAAAGTTCAGAAAGATTCGAGTAGATTACCAGGAGTACGACGTGCTACTGATTGGGAGCACGATGCTTTATTGGTAATGAAAGTTAAGAATATCGAATTTCAAATAGGATTTGGCGAGGTCGTAGGCAACGCCTGCGAACATGACGACTCAAAAATGGAGCGGGACCGAGAAAAAATTCTTAAATGTAAGTAGAGGATTCTCTTATTCTTTCTGGCTAATTAAACCATGGTAACTATAGTGTGTCTTAATCTCAACAGCAATGCAACTTGGGCTTTTCCGATTGCGACAGATGTTGCGGGAGCAAGGAGCTGATGAGAAGAATTTTAATTGTGCCGAGACGTTTGGGATTCTTGTTTATAGTATGTAACAATCCATTGCATATTCATTTTTTACTAAAAATTGACATTTCCTAACTTCTTTTTCAGAAAAGGATTATCACTTTTATTCGATGCATTATGCTGATGGTCTATATTTGGTAGACAAATTCGATGAATTCGCGATACCCTCTAGCGCAAGTCAATTGTGCGAATTGTCAGAAATTATAAAATCATTGTTTTCGTTTAAGGTAATAACCAGCATTGCAACACTTTTTATTGTAAATATTAAATAATACCTTTGAAACTTCTTTCTTTCTTTTATCGTACCGGGGGGGGGGACAAAAATATTGCACGGCTTAAAAATAAAAATTTAAATAAATTTTTTATAAGTTATTAGCCATGTGAT